ACTTACAATAAATTTAAACATGAGACTAAAAGTTTCAACACCTTCCCTTTTCAAGGATTTATAAATATTTTTTCCTCGTATTTGATACCAACTATATATTTTCAAGGAAGTTGTTAGCCCATCGGGTTCCATTGGCAACTTGCAACAAATAGAAAATTTTTAGGCTTTTTATATTGCTCTTGGTTGGAGCCACTATCTTGCTTCTATCTATCAACTTATTGCTAATTTATTTTTGATAAGCCTTATCTTAGTGGACTTTTTGTATTAAAGAAAATGTAATTATCGTTTCAATATGTGACTTATACCTACTTTTTAATTTTATGATTATTTCAAGGAAAATGAAGATAGTCTTTCTTTTCTTTTCTTTTCTTTGATGGTTTTGGCTCTGGCGGAGAAAAATCAACTTACAAGCACTCGAAAAGAAGGGATGTCACTGGGTCCTTGAGCTGGAAATTTCCTCCGCAATTTCTTTCATTTTCCCATTACTTTAAAAATAACTGAGAAAAAAATTATTTCAAATTCTCCTTCACATATAATACATTTCTTATCCTTTTTCCTAATATCAAGAGTACAAATTCCCCTTTATATTTTTCTTGAATAATTCCCTCTAACTTTTTCCACTTCAAAAAAAAAAATAGTGAAAATAATTTTCTAGAATTTAATTTTTTTCCTAAAAATTTTCTTAAACAAGGACTAAAAATCATACGGCCACATGGATTAGATTAACATTTATAAGATTTTAAAATAACATGTAATTATCGTTAGAATGTGATTTCTACAACTTTTTGGAGGAAAAGATGACATTCTTGTTGAAATAGGGTTCCCATACTATATATATATATATATATATATATATATATATTTTAATTTGGTATTAAGAGAATAAAATTTTCAATTAGACACTCAAACTTTACTTTTATTACATACTTTACCTTATTTAATAACAGCGTTAGTTAATGGATTGACGTGGCAAAAACAATTAATAAAATCATGATATGAGATAAAAAAATGATGCATTATTTTTATTTTTGAAATAAAAATTAAAAGAATTCAAAAAAAAGGAAAATTAGAAAAGAGAAAAAAAGATAGAATCGGGAGAGAGAAAATGAGGAAGGTGAGAAGGGAAGAGACACAGGGCAAGAGAGGGGTGGAACTAAGGGTGTAATTAAATTAAGTCAAATTGATATAATGAAAATTTTGTGCTCAACTCAAAATTCATTTTGAGTTTGATCAAGTTTTAATTTTTAAATTTAAATTAATTCGAGATAAAAAATTAAACTACTTAAATTTGTTCATTTATCCAATAAAAAACGAATTTAATTTTTATATTCGACTTTAAGTTTAATTATTTGTGTTCGAATTTAAATTCGAAATCAAATTTATATATATAATAAAATAATAATTTTTTAATTAAAATAATATGAATATGTTGAAATAAAAAAAGTTTAATTAGATTTGTAAATTATTTAAATTGAATATTAAGATATTTAAATTTAATTTACTTAATAAATCGAACTATTTAAATTTAATTCGATAATAATTGAATTAAATTTATATTTTAATTGAGTCTAAACAGTTTTGCGAATACTGAATTATTATTTATACTCCTAAGAGGAACTGACTGATCGATGAGGAATCTAAATCTATTTGTCCCGAATCAGGAAAATTATCATAGATGTGGCTTGCCAGATCAAAGCCGATTTGCCTAATTTGGGTCAGTTCACCCTCTACCTATCTTAGACCTACCACTCAAGGGCCAGTCAATCTCCTCCCTTCCCTTCCTCTTTCTTTTCTTTTTCTCTCTCCTAAAATTTTGGCTCTATTTCTATTTTTTAGAAGTTTTTTAACTTTAATTTTTTTAACAAATCCAAAATTTAAAATTAATAAAAAAGTTTTTGAAGATTTTGATTTTTTAAAGTTGTTTTTTTATATTTTTAAATTTCACATTTTCTTTAAATTTTTATGTTTTTGGGACATTTTCTTTAAAATTAAATTTTTTTAAAATTTTTTTCTACTAATATGATAAGAGACTCAGGAATAATGTGATACTGGCATATTAAAAAAGTTTTACCTAACAGTTGATTAAATATAAACGGAGTTAGCTTTTAAAGTAATTTGATTTACTGAAGATAAATTTAAATGTTTAATTGAAATTTTTTATTTTTAAATATAAAATTAAGAAAAATAGTATAATATAAAGATTTCTTCTTTTGCATTCCATTGTATTTATTTATTGTTGATCCGCGACAAGCTTTCTTTTTCGGTGAAACTACTACAGACTGCATGCACTTCAACAATTCAAGGAAACAACTCATTAGCGTGTTGGTAATGGTAATCTTTGGCAGTGATGTTGACGTTAAATAAAAATATTATTTTAAACAATATTTTGAACCTTTTGCATGATGACTAATTAACGCAAATAATACTCTGGAGGGTCCAATCACTCTAAAATTGTTTAATCTAATTACATATATTAGAATTAGGATTTGTGGATGTAACTTTTTCTTCTAATTTTTTCTCTTTGAAATTTCTTTGCGTTTACTTTTCAAGACACTTCGATGGCCATCGCATCTACGCAAAATAATTGAAACTTCCTTGCTTTGAGTCGCCTTTCTCAAATAAATTCTGGCTTTGCTCTGTTACAAAACTAAAAAAAAAAATTATCACTTTGCTGTGGGAGAATTAGTTGCTGAATCCTTCTCTTCTCAGTTCTCATCAGTAACGGTGAAGAAAGGAAAATTTTCTCATCTTTTGAGGTACATCGCTAAAATCCCTTCCAATTTTAGGCCCTTTGCTTTCTTTCTTTGGTTTTACCTATAGTTTTTGTTATTCAGTTTGCTTCTCACAACTTAGAAAAGGACAAAAAAAATCGGAGATTGTTATTGGTATTGTTAGCTCTATTGTCACTGCAGCAGCAAGCGTCACTAGGATAGGACGAGGACTGAAGGATACTGAAAATAATGAAATCCTTCTTCAGAAGGTCTCCTTTAGAGGATAGTTAATGAAACTTTTGTTTTTTTTCACTTCACCCCTTAATTATTCTTAAAAATAAAAAAGGAAACAAAAGAAATAATTTGCATCCACTTATTTAATTTTACAATTTTTGTCCTCATTATCATTCATAGATAAATTTATTATACAAAAATTTTTCTATTTCTTACAAATCATTTAGTATTATCTTCGTCAAACGATGTAATTTTTTATTATAACATTTTTTTTGAATCCTACACAAATAATATTCTTTTAGAAGCTTCATTATGGTCGAATAAGCTCATATACTTTCAGTTAATGTGAAAAAAGAATTAAATAGTTGTATGTTTTTGTCCAGCCTGAAAAACGTATGGAAAGTTACAGGTTTGGGTTAAATACACATTTGATTCTTATATTTTACCACTTTTTCACTAAGATATCTAAGAAAACCACTTACTTCCGTTACATACTTTGCTCTTTTTAACTAATGGTTTTTGTTAATGAACTAACGAAGAAAAATATTCAATAAAATTATGATCAGTGATAAAAAATTCAAGGAAAAATTTCAATTTTTTTAAAATTTTTGAAATTTAAAAAAGAAAATCAGAAAAAGAGATAGAAAGAGAATGTGGAGAAAGAAAACAAGGGAGGGAGGGAAGCGGAGAGATGAAGAAGAAGGGAAAGGGGAGGTTTTGATGGACCGATCGGTTTAGGGTAATTGTTCGAGGTTGATCTGCCCTATATTAGGTAGATTGAAGTCGATCTCTCTGGTTCATGTCAAATCAGCCTTGAGCTATCGCAGACCAAACGATCAAGGGCAGATCACTCCTTTTCTTTTCTCATTTCCCTTCTTCCCTTCCCTTTCTCTATCCCCGATTCTTTCTCTATTTTGTTTTTTTTTTTATATATATTTTGAATTTCTTTTACAAAATTCAAAATTTTAAAATTTTAAACAGTTTTTGAAGAATTTTGATTTTTTTTAATAATCAAGATTTTAATTTCTTTAAAATGTTTTTTTTCATATTTTAAAATTTGATTTTTTAAGAAAAATTCATATTTTATTTATTTTTTCTTTTATTTTAATTTTTATATTGTTTAGTACTTTTAAAAAATATATATTTTTTAAATTTTTTTACCACTAACATGACAAGAAACCCACTAATTACATAAGATTAACGTATTTATATGATTAAGCTTTACCCAACAACTTACACTTTTCTATTGGTCAAGTATGCCTTGTTACAATGAAGTTTGCTTCTTAGATAATTCGACTCACGAAAACAAGTTCGTTTACTTTGTTGAAAATTTTTATTCTTTAAATATCAAATACAAAATGGTAATATATGGAGAACAGGTATGTATTTAACCTAGAAGTTTATATTTATTTATTTATTGTTGATCCGACCACAGGTTTCTTTCCGATGAAAGTACTGCTGCATGCACTTCAACAATTTCAGGAAACAAGTCATTAGCGCTTTGGTAATCTTTGACGCATTGTTTACATTATATAAAATTTATTTTTTAAAAATAATATTTTGAACCTTTAGCGTGATGACTAATTAGTCAAATAGTCCCCTTAACGGTCCAATCATTCTCAAATTGGTTGGTTTACATATTAGAATTAAGATATATGGAAGGGACATTTTTTAATGTTTTCTTTTTTCAGTTTATCGCATTGATTTTCAAGACACTTCGATGGCCATCACATCCACGCAAAATAATTATCACTTTGCTCATTGATAAGTGGGAGAATTAATTGCTGAATCCTTCTCATTTTGGTTCTCTTCAGTAAGAGTGAAGAAAGGAAAATTTTCTCATCTTTGAAGGAGGTACTCCACTAAAGTCCCTTCCAATTTTAGGTCATTTGCTTTCTTTTGCTCGGTTTGGTGTTACTTAGTATGCAAGAAGCTTTTCTTTTTGGTCGTTTCATTATAATTTTCTTTTCTGGTCCCCTGTTTTTTTTTTTTTTTCATTGCTTTTAGCTATAGTTTTTGTTCAGTTTGCTTTTCACAACTTGGAAAGGGGAAAAAATGGAGATTGTTATTGGCATCCTTAGCTTTATTGCCACAGCTGCAAAGTACACCATCTCTCCCATAAAAAACCGTATCAAATACCTTTCCAATCATGAGAACCAGGTTCAGACCCTCAAGAATCAATCTGAGAGCCTGAAGGATGCAAGAGAAAGAGTGCAGCATTCCGTTGATGCTGCTAAACGAAACGGGGAAGAGATCGAACATGATGTTGACAACTGGTTGACTAAAGTCGACAAGAAGCTCGCTGAAGAAGTAGAGAAAGTAATGCAAGATGAAGAAAAAGCAAAGAAAAAGTGTTTCATTGGCTTGTGTCCTAATCTCTGGACTCGTTACAAGCTTAACATGAAAGCTGAAGAGGAGGCGAAGGCTGTTGCTGAGCTACTTGAGCAGGCCAAATTTGACAGGGTTTCTTTTCGTGCAGCTCCACAAGGTATCATTCCCGCATCAGTTAAAGGTTTCGAAGAATTCGAGTCAAGGACGTTGGTTTTGAATGGAATCATGGAGGCGCTGAAAGATGCTAGTATCAACGTTATAGGGGTGCACGGGATGGGTGGCGTAGGAAAGACTACGCTAGTCAAAGAAGTTGCTAGGCTGGTCAAGGAGGGCAAGTTATTTGATTCAGTGGTTATAGCAACCGTAACTCAGACCCTTGATGTTAAGGGAATTCAAGATCAAATTGCAGATTTATTGGGTTTAAGATTTGAGGAACAGAGTATGGTAGGAAGGGCACTTAGACTGCAAGAAAGATTGAAAAAAGAGAAGAAGATTCTTGTTGTTTTGGATGATTTATGGGCAAGATTAGATCTTGAGGAAGTTGGGATTCCTTTTGGAAATGAACATGAGGGATGCAAGATTCTGCTGACTTCTAGAGATCTCAATGTCCTATCAAGTGGGATGGATACTCAGAAAATTTTGCAGTTGGCCTTTTAAATGAAGACGAAGCCTGGGACCTGTTTAAGAAGATGGCTGGTCACTGTGTTGAAAGTTGTGATTTACAGGCTACAGCTATTGAAGTAGCAAAGAAATGTGCGGGACTGCCAATCGCCATTGCAACTGTTGCAAGGGCTTTGAGAAACAGAAGTTTGTTTGAATGGAAGAGTGCTTTGTGTGAACTAAAGAGGCCTTCATCAAGAGACTTTAAAGGGGTAACAGCCGGCGTATATTCAGCTATAGAGTTGAGTTACAATTATTTAGAAAGCGAGGAAGTTAAGTTGACTTTCTTGCTTTGCAGTTTCTTAGGCCATAATGGGTTGATTGAAGACTTATTGAAATATATAATCGGTCTGGGTTTGTTTCATGGCGTCCACACAATAGAGGAAGCAAGAAACAGAGTATTGACAGTTGTGAGTAACCTGAAAGCCTCTTGTCTGTTGCTTGATAGTTACAACAGTGAACGGTTTGATATCCATGACGTTGTTTGGTATGTTGCTACATCAATTGCAAATAGGGACCTCCGCATGTTTGCGTTAATAAATGGTGATGTGCTGAAACAGTGGCCTGAAAACGAGGCGATGAGAAATTGCAGTGCGATTAATTTACTTAATCCTAATATTAGTGAGCTTCCGGAGGAGATGGAGTGTTCACTTCTTTCCTTTTTCCATATGGCCCATGAAGGTACAGTGAAAATTCCAGTCAACTTCTTTAGACGAACAGAAAGACTCAAAGTCTTAGATTTGACTGGAATGCACTTTCCATCCCTACCAGTGTCAATTGAACTCCTCACAAACCTTCACACGTTGTGTCTAAACCAATGTACACTAGATGACATAACCATCGTTGGGAAGCTCAAGAATTTAGAAATCCTTAGCCTTGCTGGATCAGACATTAAAGCACTACCTCAGGAGATAGCACAATTGACTCAGTTAAGGATGCTAGATTTGAGTCATTGTACTAGACTCAAAATCATCCCACCAAATGTCTTGTCGAGTTTGACCAAATTAGAAGAATTATATATGGACAATAGCTTTGTTCAATGGGAAGATGAAGTAGTCGGCAAAGAAAGGAGAAATGCTAGTCTTGAGGAGTTAAAGCATTTGTCTCATCTGACCACATTTTATGCTCATATTCCTAATGCCCAAATAATTCCAAAACATCTGTTCATTGAGGCATTGGACAGATACAGGATTCTCATTGGAGATGAGTGGGAGTGGTCCAGAAACTATGAATACTCAAGAACATTGAAATTCAAGTTGTATTCAAGCATTTACATGGATCATGGGGTAAAAATATTGATGAACAAGACTGAAGATTTACATCTGGATCAACTTAAAGGCATCAAGAATGTACTTGCTGAGTTAAATAATGGGGAAGATTTTACACATTTAAAGAAACTTCACATCCAAAATGGTCGGGAGGTCCAATATATTGCAACAGAGAAAATTAAGCTTTCTCAATTGCAGTCCATGACACTTGAAGGTCTGCCACAGCTCATTACCTTTTGCTCTCAAGACAAAAGGTGTTTCACATCCCAGCAGCAGGGAAACGCGAGCTCTGAGCCCTTGCCACTTTTCAATACACAGGTATTAATTTGTTTGTTTGTGGATTATTCCATATTCCAACTTTGGCTTTTATGGATTGGCAAAAAAGAAAAAAAAAACTTTGGCTTTTATGCATATTTGCTTACATGCTAAAATATTAAAAAAAGTCCTTTGAATTGTTTCACTAGTTAAATAACTTTTTGTATTTTTATTGTATTAAAATAAGTACTTATACTTTTATTTATATCCAAATAAATTCTTATTTCAAAAGAAGTACTACATATTTTTTTCTGGTTCTCCTTAATTTGGGAAATGTTGATATTTTACATAAATAAAAGTCTTACTTTAGCATTTGTGATTGTGAGAAACTAATGTCTTACATGTTGTCTTATGTTAAGGGCTTATTTAAATACAAATTTAAGATTAAAAACTTAATTGAATGTGATAAAAATATAAGAATTTATCTAAATAATGTGGTAAAGTTGATATACTTTTTTGTTGTTTTAGCCTTTTCGGATTTTTTATTGTCCCTTAAATGAGTCCATAATCCCTCTAGATTATGTTATGTTAAAGGTTTAATATTCAATATATGCAGTAAGTTAAGAATCAATATTTAATATGACTGTTGGATATATTACATGTTTGGTCACTTAAGTATTTACTTTTTTTTATTATTATTTTGATCATCTAATTATAAAAGTTTACAATTTGATCATTAGCATTTGTCAAAATTTTAGTCTTTTGTCACTCAAATGTTAAAGGCTAACGGATGATTGATGTAAGTTTCTAGGGTTGAATACATTTGCTACGGTGTGTTGCCATATCATTTTATATGCATGTGGCATTATCAATGTAGCATTATAAATTTTATAAAAAATTCAGATATTAATAAAAATAAATTATACATTTTGTCACTTAATTTTGAAGAGTTTTTATTTTAGTGACAAAAACTTTAAAAAATAATTATTTTATCACCAACGTTTATAAAATTTATTAATCTTTTAATTTTCATTTTCAATTAAATCTTATTATTCACGTGACATTATAATGATTTAGTCACCATTGACATATTCAATTAATAATTTACTCTTTATTTTTAAACTCTTCTATTTTCTTTTTAAATTGTATTTGCATGCAGTTTATGTTACCTCACTTGGAAAGCCTGCAATTGTCCTCAATTAACGCCAAAAGAATATGGCACAGCCAGCTTTCAGAGGCATGTAATGGCATTTCGAATTTAACGAGCTTGATCATTGAGGGCTGTGACAACTTGGAATATCTATTATCGCCATCTATTGCTAGAAGTCTGGTGCAGCTCAAACAGTTTAAGATAGGGGAATGCATGTGCTTGAGAGATATAATATCTACAGAGGGAATAGAAGAAGAAAAGGAAGCTGTGATTTGTTTCCCTCGCTTAGACTCCCTGGAAATAAAGTATCTTCATAATTTCATCAAATTCTGCTCAGGAAATTATAATATTGAGTTCCCAGCCTTGAAAGTGCTGAAGATCAAGCACTGCCCAAAATTAAGAGAATTTATTAATGAAAGTAAAATGGAGGGGGACTATCAATCCAATGTACAAGCTCTCTTCAATGAGAAGGCGAGTTAGTAGTCTTTTATTCTTACTTCTGTTCTCTCTTTGTTTTCATTTCTCCTTGCATTTTTGCCTTAATTTTATGAACTAACTTTACCATCGGCATGTTTTATTATTATATAGGCTGCAGTTCCTAGCTTGGAAAGGATGACAATCTCCCACTTGAGAAATGTGAAGAAGATATTTCATAACGAACTTCTAGCTGGTTCCTTTTGTAAATTAGAAGAAATGACAGTTAAAAATTGTGAGGAGTTATTGACTGTTTTTTCATCTACTATAATCGGAGTATTCAGCTGTCTGAAAAAGCTCACAGTGAACGATTGTGATACACTACAACAGATATTTGAGGTTGGAGGGTTAAATATCAAAGAAATACATGCTGTAGATTGCCAACTAAGAGAATTGTACATTTCTGAGGTACGAAAACTGAAGCATGTTTGGAATAACGATCCCCATGGAATTCTCGCATTTCAAAATCTACGAAAAGTAGTTATTATACAATGTCCGAGTCTGAAAAATCTATTTCCAGCGTCCATAGCCAAAGATCTTCCACAGCTTGAATTTCTAGAAGTGAGTCATTGTGGGATGGAGGAGATTGTGTCGGCAGGAGAAGGATTGGAGAAGCCTATTAGGTTTAAATTTCCCCAAGTGTCTTCCCTGAGGCTTAGATACCTGAATGAGCTCAAATGTTTCTATCCAGGGCAACACAAAATAGTTTGGCCGATGTTGACAAAGTTGGAGACAGATTATTCAACTTTACTAAAGATAGTAGCTTTCGAACGCCTTAGCATCCAAGAATTGAATGGGAATGACCAACGGCCACTTTTCTTGGTTGAAGAGGTATGATTATAAACCTTCACTATTTTCTTTAAAAAACCATGGCACATCAATGATCGATATGTGTTACCAATACAATAATGAAATTTTAAGTTATTACATGAAACATAATTGATAAATGTGTTTTTTAATTTATCACTGATTTAATAACAATAATTCTAAAATCAATACTTATACATAAAAGCTATCTCTAATTGAATGAGATTGCTCATTTTGGGATTTTGGACCATAATTTTTGGACAATTAAGAATTGTCATAAATTATCATTCGGCGTTAATTGGGTTAATGATGATTTGAGATTAATTGGATATAAAATTATACTATATTTAGTGGTAAATTATTAAATTACCTCTAAAGAGATTAATTGGTTTTAAGGTTATTTTTATCAAGGTAAAGGAATAATAAACAAAAACGCTAAGAAAAGAAACAAATTGAGAAAGAGAACAAGAAAAAAAAAAAGAAAATAATTTGGAGAAAACAAAAAAAAAAAAAAGAGTTTTGGTTTTTGGATTTTTTAAAATTTTTTAACATTATGCTATTCTTAAATTTTTTAAAAAATATCTTCGAAAATAATTTAATTTAGAATAATTTAAAAAATATTAAACATGTACATTTAGCAACTGGCTTTTTTTTTTTTTAAATGAGCATATACATTTTGAACTCTTTTGTTTTTTAAAGAGACAAATGATGAAGAAGTATAAAACTACTTAAAATGAAAATATAAATTTATTTTTTTATTTGTTTTCTCATGTTTCATGTTGCATGTTTCATTTTCACTTTTTATGTACCAGAACATAAAATATAGCCTATAAATTTTAAAAATTAAAATTTTAGGAACAAATTTAGATATTTTAAAACTAAAAAGGAGACATGTTTTGAGCTTTACATGGTTTTAGTATTTAAAACAATTTTGAATCTTTTTCTTTGTTATTTTCGTTTATTTTCTTAATTTTTATTTTTTAATTTACACTTAAGTAAAATATTTTTATATTTTTGATAAAAGAAAATTAGGGATAAAAAGAAAAAGGTATCAAATCTTTTGATTATTATATTTTTTAATTTTGGTTGTTCTTTATTTATTTTTTTTTTTCTTAAATATCTTTCTTGTAGAAATTTATGATTTAATATGATGTGTCAAAAATACAAAATATAAAAATATCAATTTAAATTGTTCTCAATAATGGAAAGTGACAAAATATAGTTTTCTAAAAATAAATTATACCAATAAAAATACAAATCTATTCAATAACATTATCATGTTTATGATCCGCATCCAACCTATAAGGAATTATTCACTTTGATATGAAAGTTTATCATTTTATCATTTTATCCCACAAAAAACATGTTACAAGTATGAATTTAAATATTTATTTATATATTATATCGTATCTTTACACTTAATCAATATGGGATTAGGAGTATTATAATCTCTTTATTAAAGCTTGACATCTTAGTTTAACACATAATGCACAGAATCAGAATTCAAGGCAAGGTTCTAGAAGTAGTTTTTATCGTGTAACATTTAATTTTTAAACTTTCAATTGATGATTGTTCTAATACCATTCGTGAATATTTTTATTCGACCTATAAAGTATTATTCATTTTAATATGAAAGTTTCATAATTTTATGTCATAAAAAGTTTCTTACAAGTATGGATTTAAACATTTTCTTATGTATTATATTTATCTTCATATCTAACCAATGTGTGATTGAGAGTTATAGTTTAAAAGTAAGTTTTTAACTTATTATGTTTAGAAAATTTTCTTGATTTTATTTATATTATAATTTAATTTGTCAACAATCTCACAAATATTCAGATAAATGCATATTTTATTTTTGTTTTAAAAAATTATATATTAGATTAAGTTTGGCATTGTGAAATATTTAGTTTTAATTGGTAAATGAATAAAACTATAATCATCAAAGAATTTTGTTGAATTAATATGTATGACAATATATAATCATTTATAAAATATATTTTTGATTATTTCAACTTACATTTGTTAATAAAAACATAAATATTCATAAAAATAATTCTTACAGAAAAATGCCTGTTGCATTCTAATTTTATATTTAAAGTTCACCTTTGATATACTTTATATGTAACTCAATTTCTAATTCTGATTTTAATTCAAAATATTAAATTTAAATGCAAACGATTCTTTTCACCAATAATGCAAGAGGTTTTGAAACATAAAATAATTTGAAGTGTAAATAAATGAATGTGTTGTATTCCTAAAATTTTCACTTAATTTTCGAAATATTATTTACATATTATATTTTTAAAAATAACATTTGAAGCATAAAAGGCTTAACTTAGGGATGCCCTTTTAAATCCAAAATTAATTTACAAACATCCATATGTAGTTTTATTATACTAGCACAGAGTTATATGGATTGCATATGTATATGTGTTATGAGTACATTTTTAAGTAAAATTTTTGAAATATAAATAGCTATGTTCTTAATTTATATAGTTGAGTTTATAATAAACATAATTTTTTTTTATTACATCAAGAAGACAAAGTCCTAGTATAAAGTAAGGGGAAAGAGAGGAGGTCTGGTTTGAAATCAGACCCTTGATATCCTTTCAAGCGCCTTTAACCACTAGGCTAAAGGTTTGGAGACTATAATAAACATAATTAGAACATAGACATAAATGAAAATTAAGATCATATCTTAAATGACAGAAATTACTTTTTTTATATCTATATCAATTTCCTTTTTATATTGGTGTTAGGAACTTTTGCCCTGCAAGTAGTCCATCTAACACTATAAATAGTTAAGTGAACCGTTTGATCTAAAGTTTCGGGTTCATATGTATCTCAATTAATTAAATATTGTTTTAAAAAAATTACTAATTAAAATTTATTCCCCTTATAATTTTATAATATAATAAAATAATTTGTAAAAAGATTTTTTTTTAAATTACACTTATAATCAAATATTACATTTATATAATCCAGTTCACTAAATAATTAATTACTAAATTATAACTTAATTAAGCAATCAAATTCACATATAATGAGACTTGAATCTAAGATTTTAATGTTTTAGGGCTTTCTTCTTACCACTAAGCCACGTTCTCATTACTATTTGTAAATGGATGTTAATTTTGAAATATAGTAAAACTTTATATCCCTTTATGTCTAATGATATCCTTGATATCCTTTCATAATATAATAAAAATAATGTACACATATTATTATTATTATTATATTATTATTATTATTATTATTATTATTATTATTATTATTATTATTATGTTCACTTGTTAATTTTGAAAACACTGCCAGCCCCCTACAATGGCCTATCTAGATGGTTGTTTTTTCTTCTTTTTTTTTGGGTAAAATCTATCTGTGTATCTATCTAGATCTTATATATACATACACAATTTTTAACTATTGAAACTAGAACATTAAAGTAGAAATTTTTAATATGTGTACACACAATTTTTAATAATAATATAAATTATGTTATGTTAAAAAAAATGTATCTTAAAATTAACTTTATCTTTTTAAAAAATTAATTCAAAGAATAGTATATGTTTTTTTTAGAAGAAATTATTTAGTTGAATTGTTACTACTTTTATAATTTTAAATGCTAAATGAGGTGTAAGATATGATAATCTAAAATATAACACGATGATAAGACATAAATATTTATATGAAAAATGATATGAAAGTAATGTTGTTTAAAATTTTAACAAAAACCTTTAGAATTAACAAAATATTGTATTTTGTATTTTTGTATTGATAAAAATTGTGATACGTAATTTTTATGTAACACATGGTTAGTGTACATGAATTATCAGTATTTTATCCAATACGAATACACGAATTATACAATATGAATTTTGTAATCCATTAAAATTAATTTTTTTATTATATGCATCTAATAGTTCATTCATCGCTTAATTACTTTCATCCTTTGAAATTCTATTTGCATGCATGTTAACATAGTATAAAGTCACGAGACATTATAAATATTTCATAATTTTTATGTTAATATCTAACTCATTAAAAAAAAAAAAAAGATTTACGCCCGTGTAACATCATGCTGGCCAAACTACTAGTTTTCATTTTTATTTTCCTTACATGCGTACGTCACGGAATGACAGCTCTAGTTTCATTGGTGTTAACAATTTTTACTTTTTAAAAAAAAAACAAATTTACTTGATTAATCATATATGTAGGAGGACTAAATAATTCAAAATTGAAGTGGAGATGAAATGCACATTTTAAGGACCTGTCAATTACTTAAACCTGTGATCAATAGTTGAATGACTCTTTCCTTTTGATCTTGTGGAGGAATGCTGGCTCTGACTTGCTTTTATTTGATTGGTTTTCAAGGCCCTTCCCAAATTAGAGGAACTGCGGTTAAGAAAATTTGATGATATTGCAATGGTATGTGATGGCCAGTTTCCGGCAGACTTCTTTCACCAGATAAAAGATTTTGTGCTGTATGACTCTCTTAGTGGATCTGCTAGTTTTCCAATTAATTTCTTCCAAATATTCTACAATCTGGAAATTCTTGAATTTTGGAACGGCGACTTCAAAAATCTAGTCTCTTGTGAAGGAGATGTTGTTGAGAAGCCAGATGGAGGGACACTCCTCTCTCGAATTAGAAAGTTAAAATTGAATCATTCTAAAAATCTTACACATATATGGAAGAAAGATTCAGTGCTAGCCCACATTCTTCCTAATCTTGAAACTCTTGAAGTCAAGGGATGTGATGATTTGATAAGTTTTGGATCCTCACCCTCCTCAGCATCTTTTCAAAATCTCACAACTTTGGAAGTGAATTGGTGCAACATGATGATAAACTTGGTTACACCTTCAGTAGCCCTGAATCTGGTACAATTAACGACAATGAGGATAACGGATTGCATTACAATGACAGAAGTTGTTGCAAACGAGGGATCAGATGGAACAACATATAATAAGATAATATTTTTCAGCAAATTGAAATATTTGGAACTCAGCCGTTTACAGAGCCTCGCAAGCTTTTGTTCAGGGAATTACGCCTTCAAGTTTCCTTGTTTGGAAGAATTAATTGTGGATCGGTGTCCTAGCTTGAAGATCTTTTCTCAGGGTGTTTTAAGCACCCCACGACTACAAAG